CAGATGGATGTTTACATATTATGTTATGGGTTTCAAGTCCTTTGACCTGTTCCTAAGGAGGAAGATGACCTGTGCATACTGGTGAAATGCTGCTCCCTCATTTCCACTGAATAATCACTTCAAAATATTATTTAATCTTCTGGGAAGGCCATCTCAAACTCAGCTAAGTACAGGAAGCAAGTATTTCCATGCAGCTTCCTGAAACCCTGGCTATCATAAATAAAGCACTGTGATCTTAATTAAGAGTGAAATATCTGTGTTGTCTGTATTAGGTATTTTTACAGAGAAAGAGGAAAAGATCTTTCATTGGATAGTAAAAATCTAACCTTAGCTGTCAAAATATGAATCAAATGACATGAATCACATAGTTCAATATATTTGGATTAATTTTTAGTGCCAAGTTGCCTTTTTTTGGGGCTACCTTCTTTTATAGTGCAAAACCATGAGGCATGAATTGGAAAAGAAATGTCTCCCCAACACAACACCRGACTGAAAATATACAACTATAGTATGTAGGGAGTCAGCCATTCTTTTGGACAGCAAAGAATACTGGCAGAAGGGGAAGGGATAACTGGTAAACCTGGCTTGAGCTCTTCAGAACATCTGACTTATTTTACTTATTGAGATCCACCCATTATGAATGAATATGTGACCTCTCAGCTGGGTCTTCTTCCTTTTGTCTCTCAGCTGGGGCACAAATTAAACTGGAGAGTCYGCCATGCTCAGAAAGACCAGCAGCCAGCACATTCTTCAGAAAARTTAATAAAACCCCATTGGTCTGACCACCTTGTGGTGTGACAGTGCTGAGAAGAGCCCTTCAGCTGGGAGGGCAGCCCATGCTTTTTTCTGCACATTTCAGCACCAGTATTTCTGCCATCAGCTACAACTTTTTGAATRCAAATCACCAACCTCCTCTTCCATSAAAYAGCTACTTTGTGAGAAGCAGGATTACTCTAATTAATGCCAATATGGCTTCAGAACCAATTCCAAGAGCACCAAGTCCAGGTATTTGCTGCTGTTACTAAAAACAAAACCACTCTAAATTAGCACTCACAAAGTGACAGGCTGCAATTGCAACCTAAATGTGATCTAACCATTTTGAAACTACAAAATGTTTCCTAACTTCTCAAGTAAATTGGGATGCTGCTGACATGGGTTTGTGTCTGTATGAATGAGACTGTGATTGCAGGGAGCTATAAAGAGAAGCCTTTACTGCAGTGCAGGTMTCTGTGTGCAGGGGATGACTGGCCATGGCCAGCAAGATCAAAAATGTCAAGTTGTAAACACTGGAAACAAAAAATCTGAGAGAGACACATTGGAGAGATAGGAAAGTGGATTTGCTATGCTTCTGGTTTCATTACATCATTTTGGTGAAAGCCACTGGTATGTGCGAGGAACCAAAAAGCTTTTTGTTTAACTCTGGTGCCAGGAATCAAGGTTTTGAATTGTAAGCAGCAACACAAGATAAATATTTAAAAGTAACCACAAGGTCTTCTTTCCAGCCTGCACTGGTTATGGTCMCAGATTTTGCAGGAATGTAGGGTTGTGCAGTGCCTAACTCAACAGCATGATCTGACTGGAGCTGCACTACTTATACATACTAACTTTCTCCTCCTCCTATCATCATCCTCTTTTCATGGAAGTGCCACTGATGTAACTGAAGACTTCACAAAGAATCATCAGAGATGGAGAACAACAAGCGAAGACTGCCTTACTTAGGACTAAAATTCATCCTGAGATAGTGGCAGTGTGGAGACTGGGAAGTTTACAGTCTTCCTGGGATACCTCACAAGGTAAAGTGGAGGATAAGGAAGGCTTTTCAGAGCTTCCTGTAGCAGCCAGCACTTTGGCTAAACATACTAAGGACTACTAAAAACTGGGAATGRCTGGGAAGGGAATCTATCAAAGTCTACACTAGCCCTTCTACTCCAGCTTTACTAGGGAGCCAACCACCCAAAGAAATTCTCAGCTCACCACATCAAAGACTTGAAGTTACTAAAGTTTGTGAAGAGAGACTGTTTCCTGACCGACGWCTACTGAAAAGGCACTGTGGGCTTCTGTGTAGTGTGTATCAACGGCTCCATATACAATGTGTTCCATATATGATACTTGCTTTCTAATTCCCAGCTTTGTGGTTGAAATTGGAGGGCTTTTCAGTTTATAAATTACCTTGGGTTTTATTTTTAMTGTAAAGGCTCTGCAGAACCTATTAGAACCTTAATTATATAATCTATTCTTCAGTGAGATAGACATAAATACCAGATTAGATGGTAATAAACAGTTCTCTCAATCCTGCTTCAAAAGAAACAGAATCCAGCTTGTTCTTTTACAGCTGTACTGATTTTATAAGGCTTAATGGCAGCACATAAAGTGATAAAGCTTATTTGTCACTAAACTGRTATGACTTGGAATACACACAGGAACAGATCAGCTCAAGTATTACTCCTGTAGACATTTTTCACGTTATATCTGCATTTTATATGCAAATATTTTAATTTTTACAAGGTAAATGTCATCTTATGAACAGATTTCATGGAAACCAGTTTAGTCTTTCTGACAAAAGCAATGCCCATTCCCCTGCTGAGATAGGTGGGAACATAAAATATTTCACCCCAACATGCATTTTGATTTGTTATGAGCCAAATTATTTTCTTCTATTGTGAAATACTACAAGTTGGCAGCAGTTTTTTAGTTTGCACAGGTCGGGTTGACAGAAGCAGTTGTGTCATTTGGATATTGGCAGGTCCTATGACAAACCTCAGCTGTYCGACATTAACTTGTTCCTCAATGCCAGTGGCTGCATGCAACATCACTTTTCAGACTGATGACCACTGCTAGCAGAAGATAACATTTAAAGGACTAAACAAATTTGCCTTGCTGTTAATTACAACATTCAATGGTTTATAGTGGGTGAAAACATGTTTCTCATTCCCACCAGAGCTTTCACATAGCTGAGCCAGGCATAAGGCACTTGATTAGCTCTTCCTGCTCCMGTGTTAACTCTTTTTGAAAGAATGACCTCCTGTGCTCACTCAGAATACAGAACAATGATGAGGTCCAAACCCCCAGAGAATACAGTTTTTCACACTATTTGCTATTACTAGATGAACACTGTGTCAACACAGAGGATGGTTTGCCAAAAATAGGCTAAATGCTCACATCATTCCCTTTCTCTCCCCTGTCTAAAGCATGGGTGARCTCCAGCACATGAAACAGCTCTCCACTCATACGGGAGAGTGGAATTCAGCATGGTGCAGTCACCACTTAGGTTGCTTGTGAGCTCACCAACAGGAATGTGATTTAAAGGAAGCAGCTCCATTAAACCCCTATAGGCCATCCTGTCTCCTCTCTCTCTCTCCCTTTCTCTGAGTGTSTTCTGTCGGTGCTGTAGGTGCCACAAAACAGTCTGCCTGTTGGCCTTCACCTTGTCCTCTATGTGCYTTGTTGGATTGCTGCTGACATGGTGACAGCTGGAGGGCCTGCACGAACTGTGACTGAGCAATGATGCTCTCTATCTAGAAAATGCAGGGTACTGGCTGGTTAGCTCAATTAAATTGCAAGCAATCAGCAAAATGAGCATTTCAGTATTTTTGTATGATGTGAATGATGAATCCAGGCAAGAAAGTCTTGAAGAAGAAGAGGGATTTGCTGTCTGATGCCTTCAAGAAGCTGAAGGTCTGAAATGAGTCTTCATGATGAGATYAGAAAAGTCACCTAAGAAATCAAATGAGCTCAAATGATAAGAAACCAATGGTCCTTTAGGAGCAAAGTAAAAACTCCCACCAGCAAAGTTGAACTTAAGGGAAATAGAYAATTGGAAACACAGGAAACAGGCCAAATTCTACCTCAGTCCCACAGGCATAAACCTAATATTATCTCCCCCATGACAACTCCCCTTTATGGTTACAGACTCCAGAACAACTTCAGAACAATTTTCTTCAGTTTACRAAGAGATGGCGCAGGAGCTGCAGGTCCAGCTGGAGAGCAGCACCAGCTCAGTGAACCCTTCCCCAACATCTTGTCTTCCCTTTCACAGAGATATCTGAATTCAACCTAGATATCAGGATGGAAATTGAAAGAGAACAGAGTTCTCTCACACAGAATCTTTCTGTACAAGACATGAATAATAATATGAATAATAAGACAACATCACTCATAGTATCTGGATATTTCCACTACTGTATTTGGAGGAGTGAGTAGGTGCACAGGTAATGAAAGAAAGAATACRGTCCATGTGTGCACAGAGGGAAGGGAAGGCTAGGGACAAGTTAACCAAAATTCATGTAACCCCAAGCAAGCTGAGCTGCAAGTTTTGCAGAAAACTTTTTCTTCTTATTCCTAGCAAAATTCCAAATCTTCAGTAGGTTCACTCCTTCTCCAGCTAGAGACACAACATCCTTCCCCAAGTCCAGACTGGAACTATGACAGTTTGTACTAGCTAGGAATCTGACATAATATGCAGTGTGTCTTATGGAGAATTTAAAAGGATCATACCCCAAGGACATCTGGGGAAGAAGGGGGTGGATGCAAAATGGGATTAAATAACAGCATTCCTGTCTCAACAAATAGCAGGAAACCAAGGGAGACAGCAGCTAGCAGGGCAGCATTCAACTTCACTGCAGAAAAGGGACTGAAGAATCATGAATCAACAGCAGCAAGTAAAGAAAAGAGGAAAAAAATCGGGAAAGAAAAAGAAAATCASTGGCCTGGGTTACAGTGAGAGAGGGGTATCTCAAGTGTAACACCACACATTTGTGCTATGAAGGGGAAAGCCTGTGCATCTGTGCATGGATGGGGAGGAACAGAAARAGGGATATATGCTTGTGTCCTCCAGGTGAGTGAAAGACATAGTGGGTTGTTACGGGGKGGAGTCTCGAAAAGAGCGTGGGAGAGCAGGGATAGGGAAGGGGAAGAGGTGCGACAGGACAGGACGGCGCATTATTATGTTGCTCAGCAGGGGCTGGGGAAGGTGAAAAGGCAGAAGGGAAGGAAGTTCTTACCACATTTGGAAAGTCTGCCAGTCATCAACTCCATACAGTTAGTGGTGTCTGGATCATAGAACGGAAAGAGGAGGGARGGAGGGAAAAACATAAAAAAAGGTTTCCATACCTCTGTGCATAAAGTAGTAACTTAGCACATTATTATCTGAAGCAGGAAACATTTACACATCTTGGTGTTTACACAACCCAGGCCAAATTCTGCCACCCACTGCATGCCAGTGCAAACCTGGCCCTGTGACTGAGAGTGGAGCTGCTTCAGTACTGCTGCCYCCACTCACCCCTTTATCATTTGTGAGGTGTGGGAAATACTCTGCCACCACAGCAGCAAACTATAAGCCTTGAATACAGTGTTTCACCTGGCTAGCTTTGCAAGTTAGCCTGCAACAACCAGGAAATGTTCAGCCAGCTCATTTATCTACATCAAAAACCTGGAGAGAGGGAAGAAATCTAGCACTGTCCTATTGGACATGGAATGAGGCTACTTGTACAGCTCAAACCCATCTTTAAACCCCAAAGAATAATACTGAAGTTTCAACCTAACTCTCTCTCATTCAAGTGTAATCTCTTAGTCCTCTGGCTTTCAAGGTCAGTATTCACAGGCACATAGAACTACTTCTGGAAAGGGTGGCAGAATCTGGTCCTAAGACATTACTGTCCACTTTGTGTATAGCTCCCATTGCCACAGCCTCTGTGTGCTTCTTACTCAGGTGCAACAAGCAGAAGAAGTTCCACATGTCAGCTTTCAAAGAGAAAGGATCAGCCCAGCTGGACACTTCCATGTGGAACCTCCTGGCAAGTCAGATCTGCTGCTGTCAGCCAGGATTCTCTTGCATTTGGGATCTAAATCATCATGTTCCTGGGCAATGTGGAGCACTCACTGCTGAGCAGGTGGCCACCAGTTTAAAGTACTCTGATCAGTCTCAGATTTCTTGCCTGGGTTCTTGTTGTACACTTGGGCATTCAAGAAAGAGGCTTCTTGAAAATATCACACATATGCTGAAAATCCYTAATTGCCAGGAAGCTGTAAACTACTCCCTATCTGCTACAAGTCTGCGGGACAGAGGGAAAGATAATTTCTCAGCATTCCTCCTCTTAAATATTGAGAAAAGTAATTTCATAAGAGGGCAAAAGGGTGCTGGATATACTTGGGTGAGCTGAACCCACGCTAGAAAAGCATGARTATGTGTCTTTTCTGATGCAGCCAGGCTTGTGCTGCATAGATCATCTGGGAAAGCATGGAGTAGAGAGGGCAGGTGCTTGGTTCAATCACACTGGTCAAAGCACCTAAGCAGTGCTTACATGTTCTCCATCCCTGAGGCTAAAAGTGGSCTGGCAGAGGTCAGTGGGAGATGATACCAATGGAAGTTCTCTCAGAAAGGCACAAGATTGAGAGAAAGAGGAGGGAAAAAGAGATGGAGGTGAAGAAGAAGAGAACATTCAAAATCTGGAACAACATAACAGAGGTGTCAGAGAGGCCAGGAATTTACCTGYCTTTGAAATACTTCAGCTGGTCTGGCAGAGTGAAGGTAGATGAAGCTCCCAAAATACACTTCTCCCCGAAGATGCCCAGCAGGACTGAGAAGTACCTAAAGTTGCTGATTGAGTCTGACTGGAAGTCACACTCATGGGTCTGTATCCTTTTTTTTTTCTTTAATAACTTGGGGAAGTTTGTTGTCTTCTGCCTTTTAGTGGTTCCTGTCACCRACCCCTAGCTGTAATGCAGTGTGATGCAGATCTGTAGTGCTACAGAATGCTCAGAGCATTCACACAACCATTAGCAGAACTTAGCTTTGAAAAAACACATAGGAGCAAAGAAAATCTCAACTMTGATCAGAAGACTGTTTCTGACTCCCACCTCCAACACCAGGAATTTCCCCTCAAGTGTATCCAGACTGACTGGCCACACAGTAAGAARTCTGGAAACAAAGAAAGTTGTATTTGGGTGATGTCAGAGCAGGTAAAATGGCTGGTTACTAAGATCCTCCTGAAATTGGTATTTCTGTTTCATTCTTCATTTTAACAAGTTAAAAAGTAATCTTGTCTCCCTTTAAGTTAATACTACCTTTTWACCAATATTTGCAGTCAGCTCAGCTCTCTTTAGTTTTTAAAGCCCTTTGTGTCACAGGTCTACATACATTAGACGTGTTATTAGAATACAAACCGACAGATCTACACACAAAAAAAGGATTGTAACAGAAGCTTTTTGACAGCATAATATCTTGGGCTCTGGACTGAATTTTGTTCCCAAAAAAGTAAGTTTGCATGTTGTAGAATTGGTTTTGATGGACAGAGAAAATTTTTTAAATACAAGACCATGGAAAAAATCAAAGGAACATTAATAAAACCTCTAATCTGTTTTTCTTAAAACTTTTAAGCACAACTAWAATTTGAATTCTCTATATTGTCAGGGCTAGTCCCAGGAATTGCACAGGAATTTATTTGTATTTGTAGTGTCTTTCCAACACCTGATCAGATTGTTTTTCCCCAATTCCTAAGGCAGAGCCAGTATGAGCAAACAGTAGCTCACACTGCATCACTTGAAAGACCAATAGTTACTGTGTCTTCAGCTTYTCTTTTACAATGACTTTAATACTTCTTTCATTTCTTCATATTGTAACATCTGCTTTAGTAAATATTCTGTGTGATAAAGTTTTCYATCATTTTAATGTAGAATTTTAATTTGAATTAGAAAGTCTTAGATTCTTGTCACTCAGCTTCTGCACATGGATAGTAATCCATAATCCTGTCACTGTGGGATCCAGGTGTTATAAGAAGTGAATAAAGCCAGGATCCAAAGGCTTTTAACTGACTGAGAAGCATTGATGGGTCACGTAACTACATTTTTAATGTGTCCTGTTTAATTTTTTAATTAAAGCATAGTGGCAGTGTCAAGTCTCAATCCTTCTGATGATAAGGAAATTCTTTATTTTATAGGAAATGCTGGAAGTCACTCACACTTTGGATTTGACCAACTCTTTCATAAATGACACCCAGTTCAGTTCATTAACAGATGCCAAATGCTTTCGTTAAAATAAGACCTCCCTTCAAAAGGCCAAACAAGCTCTGAATCCATTRAAAATTACTAGTGCTCTGTTGAATTTTCTTTCCCAATTTTCTTCATTATTTAATTTCTGTGTTTTTATCCTACATAAATTTCCCAGGGAAGCTGCCTGGTTTGTGATGCTTCTAATATCTCTGCGTCTGAGACCCATCCCAGCCYAGGAAATCTCACCCAAACAGCTGCTCCTCTGAGATCTCCAAATCCAGGGCTGGATCCCAGAAAGCACTGAGCAGCTCCTGCCAGATGCTCACAGTCCCCAGTAAACAATTCCATTAAGGGAGATGATATCAAGGGAGCCACCAGCTCCTCTGTCCAAGGCAGTTACCATGCAGATTGAAATTCCCTGGCGTTTTTGTGCTTATTTGAAATTCTCTGTTTTCCTACCAAAACTCTGGAGAGCTTGGACTTTTTTCTACATGCTTTRTTTCAGGACTAGCAGGAACTATTTCATTTAATGAATGCTGTTCAGAAATAACACTAAAGCTGTTTGGCAAAAACACAGTGCTCTGCCAATCCAACCAGGCATTACAGGACATTTTTGTAGGTGGAACTATAATAGCGAGATGAAGTAATTACCCCAGATATTTCATCACCCCAGCAATTGCCACACAATGGCAAGACATAAAGGTTCACGCAAGATCGTAGGAAACAAGAGAAACTTGGGACCTGAATGAACCCCAGARAAGCTGACCTGCAATCCAATTCCAAACTGGCATTTGCACAGTCCTTGTTTTGATTTTGCAGCTGAAAGTTTACGTTGCAAAGCACTTCGTTTGCTCCTTACTCCCTTTCCTGTCTTGATGATAAAGTCTTTCACAAAATTTACACATTTGTAAATTGTAGGTTTCTTACTATTTTTTGGGGTAGTAATTTGCAAGCCTACAGCCCTTGTGARCCATAAAATACCTGGAATTCACAGACTGAATCCTTGCTTGAGCAAGGATTTGCACTGCCCAGTTTTGAAGTTGGATATGGTCTCTAAACATTTGTTTATGCTCATGAAAGGCTTCCAGCAATAACGCTAAGATGCTCTGAACTTTGAGATGTCAATGATTAACGTATGATATGAAGCCAATAAATATAACAAGGAAACAGAAAACCTTTTACAAAAAAGTTATAAAGGTTATTTCAGTATTGTTGATTGCCCAAAACATGGGAAAATCAGAAAAAAATATGAATAAGTAGCACGCCACACTTAAAACCAAAGTTCAGATAAGCAAGAAAATACTAAGGMAATAAAGATTGATACCCTGTGAACGATCACAGATGGTTTTTGCATGTCCCTATTCAACAGCTGCTACCATTACTCTTTCGYGCAAAGCCATTAGAGAAAAACAGATTATGATTTAATGGAAAGAGTGCTGGGCTGAAACAAAGGAACAAATCTGAGATATTGTCCTCCATGGAGAAAGATCCTTTTGTCCCAGCAAAGGGCAGTCTGCCCAAGGATTACCTAAGTAGAGATTCCAAGTGTAAGRGCCCTGGATGGAGCCATTCATGGACAAGAGACAAGGCTGACTGCCCTCACAGACAGCGAGACTCCCTCTTGATCTGAAAGGGGTCCTTTCATGGCCTTGCTGGATGTAATGGCTTTTGTGATACCAGTAAAAAGTACATATGGACAACTATTCTGGTTCAGATCAAAGGCCAAAAACATTTGAGAGTCAGACTCGATGATCCTTGTGGGTCGCTTTCAGCTCAGAATATTCTGTGATCTGTGATCTGGTGCTCTGTCTCCACCAGCAGCCCACAGATAAGTAAGAGTGAAAGAGCAGGCCAAGCATTCAGAACACTTCCTCCTACCACTGCCCCACTCACCACCGTGCCTGAGCCTGCTGTGGTTTCTCTGTTGAGCAATCCCATAAAGATTTTTGTGCAGGGAATTATCCAGCCTCCCTGTAAGTAAGAAGTACTTAGGGGRAGATGAGTATTAATAAGCTACTCACATTCAGAACCTGCTACATCAAGGAATTCCACCAATTCTAGATTTCATGAAGACATGCTTTCCAGTGACTTTTTTGGTAGTTGGCTTCCACTTTCATATGATGGCCTCTAGTTTCTTCCATTAGGAAGAAAAAATGAACAATCAAACCCTATCTACTTGTTCTATGCCAGTCATGAGTCATAGACCTGGTATCATCTCAGCAGTTATGGCACAGAGATCCTGAAACTTTAGGACACAAAGCTGATACGTTGCTCTAAATTTGTCCATCTAGACAGTGGATTTTAGAAGCATTACAACAACTTTTGGAATAGATTTCATTTATTGACACTTTTTTTTTTTTGGGTAATGAAGGGAATCTATTTTCCTGCTTCAGAGTATGCCGGAAGAAATACGCACAGCCAGTCTTAGAAAGGAAAAATGGAAGAGAATGAAGTGATATATGGAGGAAGGGATATTATAAGGTGCTCAAGACATAGAAACACATCTGCCTAAATCAGGTACATAAAAGGCTCACACACACACAGAGATGCATGGGCAACATGACATCTACAAACACTGTTGTGAGCTGGAGGAATGAAAAAGAGGAAAACGTGTTCTGAAACCCAGGCAGACCGGCTCAGGGGGCTGGGGTGCTGCACAGCAGATCAGAGGGGCAGGAGAGAGAACGGCTCTCATTGCCATATGTTCATTAGGCCTTGCTGTTCTGCTTTATACTGAGTTCATTGAATCTTCCCCTTCTGCAGGGCTCCCTTTACATGCATGCATCTTTAACAGATTGTTTTCATCATCCCACCTGTAACAGCATCAGAACTATAAGGSAGGAGAGACAACCACACATAGGATGTGTCTGTGCACAAGGAGCTAGGAGTATCTCCAGTGCTTTAGCAGGGTTGCTGCTCAGAGACAGTACCACGCTCAGAGCCACAGAGGAGAGTTTAAGGGAAGGGGAGCTCAATCTGTTGCAGCAGTGGATTATCTACTGTGTCCTCAAACCATGAACCTGAACAGGAGCCCAACCACCATAATCCATATGCGGTRCTCAGAGCTGGGAATGTGGGAGGAAAAGAGAAACAAAGAAGACTTTGCCTTGTTTCTAGTGAGAAATGCTGATTAATCACATGACCATTTCTAGGAAGATTGTGTACACATTTCTGACCACAGACACCCAGCTAAGCAAGGTGCTGAATGTGAACTCTGCTGTCCTTCACTCCTTTATTTCCTCTTACTCTCACTRGCTGGGGATGTGAACTACTGGGCCMCCCTACTTTGATGCACAGGTTGTTTCTTTTTTGGTAACAATCCCTTTATTTCCCTTCTCTTCTCTTTTTCTGCTGCTCCAACCTAAAATTTTTATGTTGACTTCTCTCATTTTCAACAGACTTGCATAYTCCTGATCAAGTCAGATGGTGTGATACAGTTTGGCACCCTGTCTCGTGAGCTGTCTTCCTTGGGTAAATCCCCAGCCAAGGGAATTCTCATTTTTAAATTTCAAGAGACCATATATTTTGGTTTTGTCCCATGTGGAGTTATCTGTTCCACTCTGGCATTAGAGGTCAGGCTGGGGGTGCCCTGCTAGAACAATATGCTCTTATATAGCTTTAGGCAGTAGAAATAATATGGTTTTTACATCCAGAACCAGAGTAAAACTGTAAGTCAGATACATTTCTCACAGCAGAGTATGCCCATAACATTTCCCTGAGTCTTGGTCAGATTAATGGTTGTTATTTCTGCTATAATATGGCTTTCTTAGGGAGATATTCTGCTTCACATACAAGTGTGCAAGAGGGTTTAAGTATTTCTACASAGCCTCAGTAGCTAGCACATATTAGGGTGAAGAAGTTAAGAGAGATCATCAAGTTATTAACTTTTTAAACCATTTTTTCCTCACACATAAGCAAGGGTACAGTTCATTCCCTAAGAAATAAGGAATTCTTGAATATTGTTCATACATCCGGAGTAATATGAAATATGTTTAAAGGATGCTTTTCTAATTCCCCTCACTCCCACTTAGCCCCAGGGTTTCCCAAAAGGAAGGGCTGGCAGAAAATTCTGACTGCTTCCTTGAGTTTGATTTCATTTCAAAAGTTCAGACAGCAAAAACCTGAATCAACCATAGCTGTATGTCCTCCTTTTCCCCGTTTCCAAASAGAATAACCCATGTGCTGGGCACCCCTGCATTCCAGCATGCAGAAGGTCAGGCAGTGCTGGAATCTAAAAGCAAAGGGGACACCGAACTGAGTGTGTTTCTCTGCCAGGTCCTAAGCATTCACATTTCTAGATGGAATTATTTTATCTTCAGATGCTAAAGCCCCACTGTTAGACCAGAAGGATGTAACTCGTATGTGCAATGAGCCAAGGACATCTGGGACTCARGTGTATGATGCAATGCCAGCTTAACTCCCCCACTTCTGTCTTGGCTTGTTCACACAAGGGTCAAGAACAGAATTTGGCTCTAAAGTATAATATTTATTTACTTCCTTTTCATGTCCCACTCCTCCTGCCTCACTCTCTTCTTCTGCAGCCTCTGCTGTCCACGTTGCTCCTATTTATTCCCAGTATCTGCACATTCTTTCTGCTTTTCCCTATTTTTCCTTCCTTGATGCATTCCCAATAGCTTATCTGCCTTAAGTTTTCAACTTTCACTCTCTTCTTTGTTCTGTCCTTTTAGAGCACTGAGATTTTTGTGGGTGTGTACAACCACTCCAGTATTCAGAGTGAACACTTGCTACATAATGATGGGATGAAGCCAGTTTCTGTATTATCAATTCAGGCTGCCTGCACATCCAGATTGATGTCATTGCACAGGGTCACACACGTAAGGCTTTCTCTACCACCACGAGGAATTGAAATTTACTTTTCAAACAGATAAAGTACAGCTTCTGCAGAATCTTAGTATATAATTTGTGCTACCACRGTATTGAGAATTTGATCACACTACTGGAAACTATTAGCCATCTTCTAACCACAGGTTAGTGGCTAAGCTTAAAGTAGCTCTCAGGTTTGTTCTGGGACTCTCTGAAGCTGGAGGTTTCTAAAGCATGCCTGAAGGGTTTGGAAATCAGGTMTCCTCTAGAGCATGTCCCTGTCCTGGGAGATTTTGGAGATGGAGAAACTCTGAAAGATCTATTGATGATGCAGCTTTTGGTGGAGAAGTGGGCAAATGGCTCTTTGGKCGGGCAGGGGGCAGAAGCTGTTCAATTGGGGAATGCACTGGGAGCACTGGAGTGGGAATGAGAAAGGRAGGAGCAGGGTGGGTGCAGGGAGTTACTGCTCTGTCTGAATGGAGTTCGTTTTTTGCTGTAATCAGAGGGATGATCCCTCAGCCTCCTGCTGTGGGAGGTATTTCACCTTCCTGTCCCTGCTGAAGGTGCTGGACAGTAGAAGCCACTTACCTGATAACTGCTGCACTGAAGGCTGGTCATGTGTGCTTAACAACTGTGCCTGAATGGTTTCTACTACCCTCTTAAAGCGACGGCTTGGACCTGCCAGGAGACAAGAGGCACAAGTGGCTGTGAGGGAATGGGAAAGTCCACGCACAACCCAKGCTGCAGGGGAAGGATCACAGCCATCTTCCCGTCAGTCTCGGCCCCAGTGGTGTACTGCCTGTGTCTGCCCTTCAGCCAAAGGGCTCTCCTGGTGTGCTGGACTCAACAGGAGCAGGAATGGTTTTTAGGCTCCTTTTGTAAGGACAGAGAAGGTGGGGGGGGTCTGTTTTGTTGTTGCATCCCCTGTGGGGSGCATGTGGCCACCCAGCAGAAAAGGGTGAGTGCAGATCAGAAGGCAGAAACCATGGCCTCACAGTGCCCAGCTGAGACTCTGGGATTTTTGAGTGAAACAAGGAGACAGGACCATGAGTTACACCAAAACTGCTCCATGGAACAGCCATTTTAGCRCTAATCATGGCAGTGCCAACTTCATCTCTTTGGGAATCTCTTTCCCTACCTGCATTTCCATCACTACCAACACCATTTTTATTCCTGATGTCCTCCTTGCCCTTGAATAAATTTTCCCCTGAAGTTAATTCTCTCCCCATTTATATTTTATSCTCTGACAGAGCAATTTGCAGGCCTCTATTATCAGCAAGGACCAAGCCAGCTCGCACCCATTTTAGAGCTTTGCCATGGTTACCTGATAACAGTGTGAAAGTGACAGAATAGATCCCGTTCTCCTTTTGCGCCTCTCCCCCTTCTGTGTATGTTATGTCCACCTGGAACTTCACTGGCTTCTGGAAGACAGCAGGACCTCCTGTGGACTTATATTCTGCACGGAAACTTGTCTGTGAGATGACACTGTGACTGAGACTTGGGATCTGAAAGAGGTTGGTAGAAGGAGATAGTAGAACCATAAGTTCTAGTAGAAACATAAGTTTAGTGCATAAAGGGAAAAAAGTTTGCAAAATTCTGTTTATAACAACATACATTTCTAGAATGAATAACATTTGCTAGATTGCTTCTGGTCTTGAATTTGTAGTGAATAGTGTTCTTGTGGAATCAAGGGTGTGGGGTGCTGGGCACCACCGAAGAATGCACCGCTGTTTACCAGAATGACCTAATCGTAAGGGTTGMATATTGGTGGAATACCCAACACATYTATAAATATACACATGTTGCTCAATTTCATATACGCAGTCTTTCATTTCCTACTCATCTACCAGTTTTGAGAAATGTCTCTTTCTTAATAAAAGCTGATACCAAAGAAGCAGGCAGAAGTCAGTGAGATAGAAGACTGGACATAAAAGGACCTAAGTAGCACGGGCTGATCTCACAGCTGGTGCTGTTTTGAGCAGGACACCTCCTGAAGACTTTTCCATTCAATTGCTTGGTGATGATGCCAAACAGACATCAGGACACTTAAAGTGCCTGGGATATTCACAAGGAAAGCATGCCTGCAAATAACTCACCCAAACCACAGTTCCTATCAATATGTAAAAGAACTCTGAGAGGCKTTGTGACATCATTCAACATCCGCATCTTCAGGACCATGGTAGGATTTCAGAACTTCCTAATTTTCAAGCAGTTATCTTTCACAAGTTCCACCAAAATTTAACAACATACTCATATTCTATCTATTGCTTCATAAAGGACAAGATTAAAAAAAAAAAAAAAMCCAAACAAATTACTTGGAAATCTCGTCTCCAATTTAGGAGGAAAAACAGAGGTGAGTTCTTTGAGAAGCTGACTGTAAGGGCTTAATTAGCAGGCCATGACAATTCATTTAAGTTTGGAAGTTGCTGTAAGACATGATTCAGTTGTTTTGCAGACAAATCCTACATCACATCTAAACCACACATGTGGGGTGTGCACAGGATCACCAGTATAGATAGTAGAGCACACTATACCACAATATAACCCCAGAAGCACAGCTAAATATATGAAATTGATACAATAACATGGCTGCTTATGACAAACCTGGGATGGACACCAGTGTCTGATGCCCACCACTATACTGGGTTCACTCCTTGTGTGCTTGTACAGTAACAAGGGTTATGGCTCATTTATTTGAAGAAGTTCATYGCAGAATCACAAAGAATAAAATGGAGTTCAGTATTTTGTGAAAAAAATCAATTTAACAAACTATAAAAGAAATTAAATTCCCTTCCTTTAATTCTGTTGAGTAAAGTCTAATTATGTTGTGGACTACCTTGAATTGAAAAATCTCTCAAATTAACTTTSCTGTGCTGACTTTTTATAACTGGTACCTCTAGATAATGAGAATAAAGACTTCACATAGAAAAAAAAAAGACAATATCCCTCTGCTTTCTTAGACTGTGTATAAACCACATCTGCAACAACTGAGACTGTAAGATGTTGCAACATGTGTAATGACACCATAAGAAATGACCCTTCTTTCTGCCATACAACACTGAAGTGTAACAAATGCAGATGTTAGACAGTGTTTTTGTCTGGCTGAAGTGGTGGAGGGCATACCCAGCAAAGGGAGACCCAATCTGCTGCCTAGCCGATGACTGTAAGGCTAATTTGACAAAGCAGCAAATCACTGTCTTGATGCTGTGCCAGCAGTGTGCTCCACTGCCGTGCTATTCCAAACTCTGGCAACCTGGAGGCCTTGCCAAGAAGGCTGAAATATTTCCTCACCTAACATTATCTACAGTCAGTAATTCACACACAGTCCAAYGCAGGCCATGTAAATTAAATCCACAGAGGATGCTTTTGAAGGAGCAGAGCCTCTGTCCAGTTACATTTGGCACATGGAATCCTGGAATGACCAGTGAACGATGCCTCYAAGGGCAGCCAGGGTGACTCACCGAGAGGAAAGCGTGGACTATATCAGCCTTGATGGAACTTAGTGGTTTGTCCTTAATGACCACAAAAATCTGTTCTTCTTTCTCCAAGTTGATGAAGTTACCAAACCAGGATTTTTTGGCAAGCCTGATGTGATGAGAAGAAAGAGAAGTTTAGAATATTGAGCACTACTTCWTATTTCCTACATGCTCCTGGCTAGAAAAAAAATTTAAAAACACACAAAAAAGTTTTGATGACACGCCAGATAAAATATGTGATGGTATTAGTAATAATTAGTGGGAATTAGTATCAGGGAACATAGCAACATTTCACTTGGTGAAAACGAATGAAATGACAGACCACACAGCCTTAGTCTGGCAGCATGTGTCACCAACAATGAAAAACCACGAGCAACAGTAACTCTTCTGACTGAGCCAATATACCAATGAATACTGCATATATAAAGTACATATAAATCAGGGGACACATTTCTGCTTTTTCTCCAGGGATCTCTCAATTTCTTTTGACAACATGCAGATACTGGCAMCATGAAGACATGAAGATTTAAGTTCCTTCCCACCCAATTTCAACTGCTTTGTTGTTACAGGACTTGGAAAGATGCTTTTCTGAAGATGTCCTGTTGGGCTGATGGTACAATCATAAGTTCTTGCTTTTCAAAGCAAGCTGTAGATTTCACCAGAGCTCCAGCCTATCAGAGTGAAATCCACTATTATGCAGGGCCCAGCCAAAGGCTGTCCTGTTCATTAGTGCCATTCAGGGTGTCTATATAGTGTGCAAATTCTGGTTGGCCTACAAAGGAACGAATTTCCAGTACTGAAAAAGGAGATATCAACACCATGCAAAACAGAGTTCAGGCTTTCCACTGACAGCAGTCCAGCTTCATAGTTTCTCCCAGCGTCAGATGGTGGTTTCATCATAAAATGAAATYGCTCTGTTTTTTCACACTGACTGTATAAGCAAATGTTTGATTTTGCTTATTGTTTAACCATTTCAATGCACTTYGTTGACAYTAGCTTTTAAGTTAAACAGGCTAARGGAAAAATGCAGGGACATGAATGTTAATGGGAGACACTACCAGAACCTGMAAGTAGCACCTCTGAGAGGTGGATGGGAGAAAAGAAGCTGTCAGCCATGAGACACAGCCAAAAAATTGCTGGACCAAATTAAACCCAAGGAAAATCTCACTTGAATCAGCCATATTCTAGCAGGGAAGAATTCTGCATGAAAACTTCAGAAATTAAAAGGCCTGCCACCAAGACACTGCCTTTTCTTTCCCGTACAGCACACTTTATAATGCCAAATCCAGTTTGCAGTATGGCAAACAACAGGGTGGACATTCACCACTCAGTGGAAAAAGACAATCTCTCCAGACGGTGAGAGCCATCTGCAAAAGGRATTACTACACACCAATTTTCCAGCAAATCAAAGGCAGCTGGARTGAGCTGGTAGACTCACTTTCTGCAGCAAAGTGAGGCAGAGGAAGCACAGAGGCTAAGAGAGAGAGGAGCAAACTATGAAACTAATTTGAAGTCTAGRCCTTCAGGATAAAGAACAAAGCTTGACCTCAGCAGTGTCCAGCAATTTGCACTCATTCCCCATCCCAGAGTGCTCCATGAATCATGCATCTGTTRGCCCACTGCCCATTTAATGCACACAATAGAAAGACCACAACTGGAAGATTGCTCAGCTGGACAAATAATGATTTACTTCATTTACTGCAAGCAACCAAAAATAAGAGTACAGAAAGATTCACTTGCAATTTGGTAAACCAGTGCCCCCCACTCAATTAAAGTGGGCTGGAAAAATGTCACTCCCTAAAATATTCATAGGCAGCTGTAACTWAGCCAGTGAGCCAGAGATTAGCATAGGGAGCAGTAAAGAGAAAGGGCCTCTCATTTAAATGGTCGTTAAGGAGCCAGGGTTAGAGTGTGAAAGAAAATTACATTCTAATTAGTTCATGTGTCTCTCACACACAACAACTCCACAAGCCCCTGGAGAGCTGGGGCAATAGCTCCCTGCATGGAAGGGGTCTGTGCTCATTAGTAAATTAGAACCTGGTTATCCATCTAAAACGGCCGCTTGTCTTAGGCTTGGATGTGTCATCGTCTCAGCCAGGGTTGGCTGTATGGACTCCAGGGGCCCAGTGGAAGCATGGACCTGGAAAAGTGGGCTTATTTAATTGCAGGTCTGCCATCTTAAAATATAGCTTTTCATTTTTGTATTTTCATTAATGGTTTTGCTGGCCCTTCATTTATAGGTCTCTTAACAAGCACAGGTAACGAGGGCCCAGAACACAGGGCATTTTTTTTCCTGTTCAACATGGTCTGGAGTCTCCAGAATCCATCTGGGCTCTTTTCCTCGGTGAGGTTATCACCAGTAATACTGAGTCTGGAAGGTTCACTGATAGCCTGGGCTACGCATCCAGCTTGTAAATCATTGCAATTCACTAAAATAATTTTGCTGGTGTCACATAAGTTGGAATAKATGCCAGTGGCCTCTCCTGTTTCTGTAAAGAGCAGAATCAAGACACAACACACATRTAATGGCTGTTCTCCCCAAAAGTGGCCGAACTGGCTGTACTCATTCACTGAAGGAACAGGCCTACTGAGAAGAGGGGACAGCTTTGGAGTAAAATTATACAATAAAGGTTTTTCTCCTCTTAGAGGGCATCAAATTCTACTACTTTGGGTTAAAATATACAGGAATCCTCTGCAACCCTGAATGCGATGCTCTAGCATCTCACAAGATCAGGCTGTAAGCAGTACAAAATGTACTTAAAATTAAGGATCTTCTCTTATAATAGCAAATTTCGTCAAGGGGGAGTGAGATAGGAGATATGAGGGGAAGGCTGAACATGTAGATTACACTAGGGAATCTAATCAGGTGTCCAGCTGATGAAAAAGCAAAGAAATTAGCATGAAAATAGAGGCTGGTGCTTTACTACTTCACACTGCATTTTCTCACCRCTATAATGTTCCTTTTCCTACTTTTGGAGTGTCTGACCATGTCACCTTCTGTGTTCCCTCTCTGTCTCTGAGCACACAGATCAGTAACCCCCAGAGGTTTACCTGCTTGGCATAAATAGCAGCATTTCTACTCAAGCAAATGGAGCTTTGCAGGTTTAAAGCAGCTGGAGCTGAGTCTCTTTAAATGTCATCCCTAACACATTTTGTAGGACTTTTTCACACGAGAAAGAACAGCATTACCCAGACATGTCAAAGTGTATTACCTAATCATCAGGTTTGTTAAATGAAYGGCAGGCATTGCTGTACCAGACAGAGCAAGGACCTGTATTTATCACTCAGCCTATGAGGTCAATACAGCGATTGATAAGGCTATCTTATTTCATACAGAAAAGAAGAAAATACAGGAAAAAAGTAAGACTTGTGGAAGTGGGCACTGAGCAACAGTCATCTATCATTAAAATTTAATCTAGTTCATTATTTTTTATGACTTTTATTATGTTTACTGCAGGGTGCAGCCCAATTGAACTCATTAATTTGGCAGTTATACAGAAAAAGAAAAGAGGGCCTTAGGCTTTGACTTGCATCCAAACTGCCTCAAATGACAGGCACTACTTCTCTATACCAGCTTTTRAAGAGTGAGTGGGAAGCAGGGAAGGCAATAAATTAACAACAAAACTTCCACCAACATACATGCAATGAAGAGGAGAAATTTAATTCTAAAGGTTTTCTGTTTTAATGACTTTAAAAGCATGTGAGATGAGAGTATCATATATTTCTGTGATAATGATGTGCTAATTTTATGAAATTCTCTCATGCCTCTCTATTAGTAAATGCTTGAAAGTGTTGAAAACACAATATATTCAATATTTCTTCCTAGTAATCTCTACTTCTCCTCCCTGAAGTCTATATCCCTCTCCATTCTGCAGTATTACACATAGAGTCCCTATCTTACACCAGATAAATGCCAGGTCTGGGGAAAGTTGTGAAGACAATACCATTGTCACCAATTACAAAACTTTAAGCTTAAAATTCCCATCCAAGATTCATGAATATTTCATACAAATATCTTAACAAGAGGCCAAATTGCCTTGGTTGGCAGGCTAAGTCTATGGGCACTGGGTGCACAAACACAAGCTGTGAAAATAAAAAGGAATAATTTGGCATCTGTTGCATATTAGGAAGTGTTTGGAGCAGCACTCTGGCAGGGACTTCCAAACCTGCCATGCAGTGACGCACATTTGTGCAGTGAAACAGTTGAAATGTACACTGACTTTTAGGAATGAGCCTGGTGAATATGAAACAGCTTCTCCATGTCCCATGTTCTGCTGCTTAGAATTAACACTGCGCTTCCTATCGCAGCCAAAGATCCCTCTGAATTATCTTAGCAGAGGCTTCYGTGTGCTATCTTGAGGAGGCAAACTCTCCTGTACTAACAGGAGGACTTTTTGATGCATAGTTAGTGTGGGTATAAGGCACTGATTAGCCTCTCCAGTCCCAAAGAGTGCCTTCATTTGGCAACCAAATGAAGGAAGAGAGAAGGAACGTGCTACAAACCAAGCAAATCAGCAAGCCATGGAAAATGTAGTGCTTACTGGGAGATTGTCTTATCACCTGTTGATCCTACTGCCATTACTGAGGTACAGATTTTATGCAGGGTCCCTATCAGGAGAATCATTTCCCACCCACAGGATAACAGGTTACAAACAGATACTGATCCAGAACAGAAATATGTCAKCTTATGAGATTCAGGCCAGGAAATGACACTGGCATTTGGTGGAAAAAAAAGGCAAAGTACTTACTCCGGGGATGATTCTGGGGTTAAATTAGACATCTCTTCTGGTGTAGGTACTGCCCAGGCACGCCCAGCGAAAGAGAAGGAGGGAGAAAAAAAAATTGATGATTCAGTACACCTTCCATTTTCTGCTTACACAGCAATGAAACAAATCTGGCACCCACTTGCATTTGTCCACTGCCTCTGTGGACTAGTTCTGACATTGCAGACTGGTYATATCACTAGAGCACTGCATCTAACCAAGTGCTGCCTTTCAAGGCTCACTCTACCCTTCCTTAGATCAGCTGGCAATCTTGCACTGGCTTCCATGGTTTCTGGTTCAGACCCAAACACACTGTGCCAATGCGACTGTTTTGCAATTGCCTCAAAGCTCAGCTGGATGCAGCTCAGTCACTGCTGCAATTCTCTGCAGTTCTCTGACCACCTCGGAGACAATGTCACTGATCATCACAGTTCAAAATCTAACTATTCCATGGCTGTAATCCTCCTTTCCCATGGGATCACGTCCCGGTATCATGTAAAACCACAGGGTTTTGGGATAGCTCCTGCTGATGTCCAAGGGTCACGCATGTGACTTTGGGTGCCCTTTGCCTGCATGCAAAAAGCCACCTGAAGCATGAGGAAGAAAATTCTGCACATCTCAATGCTCTAGAGACTCAGAAAACTGAAGTAGGCCAGCAGATATGAAACCACTGCTTGTATCAAGGAGATTTTTGCACCAATTACCAAAGGAGGTTAAAAAAAAGCATTAACCAAGATCAAAAAAGCTGTGCTTCAGAAAGACAATTTCAGCCTATTGCCTCTGGCTATCTTCTTTTTCAGCATAAGGCTCAGCCTGTGGCTGTGGAGAGGCAGTGGAGCACAGCCACAGGGGACATGGCAGAGCCCTAAGTTCACTTGCAAAGCAAGTGAAGATGCTCAAGAAAAATCTTTCTTGTGGTCTAAGAGCCTAAACAGTGATAGGAAGAGCTGTATGGCTGGAGTGAGAACAGGGCTCAGAAGGCGCTGTTGGAGCAGGTGCTGTTGGAGCAGCTCTGTGGCATGACAGGGCCTGCATGTGGGTTAGGGCTTGGCTGACGTTATCACTCTCATTTTCTACATCGATATTCAGTCCTCGGTACATGAAATTTGCAGAGCCACAGACAGGTATGAAATTCCTGCTGAATGTCTGCCCAAATCAGAACCACCCTGTAYGTTTGGGTGACTACTCACCTTGCAATTTCCGACGATGGAAGCGAGGAGACCCCAGGAAACTATTCTTGATGGAGTTGAGCCGTGTCCTCCATGGCATTCCTCCAATGCTGGGGCTGGATGGTGGTGTTGGGTTGGGTGTGCCTGCTGGGCTCTCCTTTGGCGTATGAACAGGTGTCCCCTTGGGGGTAGGGAGGGGACTTCCCCTTGGAGAGGGGTGAGGGGTGACCTGTATGATGGGGATAGATTTGGTGCTTGGGTCAGTACTAGAAGGGAGCAATCTAACAGGAGACATAGGGTTGGTCTGCACTTTAGGAACGGCCAGCTGTGGGTTAAAGCCGGCAGCAGGCGAGCGGCCCTGAGCGTTCTGCACAGGGTTGTTCTGGGAAGAGGGGGYGCTGGTATTGCTGGCAGGGAGTGGGTTGGATTTAGTAGACTGGAGTGGTTTTTCAGCCAATTTGCTCTTGGATGGCAAAGTCTGCGTCTTTGGGTTGGGCTGAAGTGCTGGCTTTGGTTGGAGTACATGTCCAGGCCTGGAGGCGTTCCTACAAGCATCAGGGTCCAAGGAGACTTGGGGTCGGGGAGAGAAAGGGAGGTCGGAGGTCTGAGGGGGGATGAAGAACTTTCTGATAGGCTACGAGACAGRCGCAGAGTGTCCATGCACATCAAAAACAGTGAAACGCATAGAGCGGGCGAGCAGAGAAAGGAAGGTCAGAATAAAATCCATCCGAGTCACAAAGATGCACCATGTCACAAGGAGACACAGGAGATGGAGGTGAAGGGGCAGTGGGGGGGAGGGATTTTGCAAAGAAACGAAAACAAACAAACAAACAAAAAACAAAAAAAAAGACATGCAGTTAGCTGGGAACACAGCATATTCAACAACAGCAGCAGCGGCAGCAGCAAGAACAACAGTGTCATAACAGGCTTCATCATATTAACCAACCACGTGTCAGCAAAGGAAAACAACAGAAAGAAAACTACAACAAAGGAATGAGAAAAAAAAAGAAATAAAGGAAAAAAAGAAAAAAAAGGAAGAAAGTAACCAAGAAAAAAGAAGAGAGAAATGCCATCTCTCTGGGATTGTTCTGATTGCCCTGCAGTGAGAAGCACGATGCTGTAGGGWGGTGAGGAAGGGGAAGAAGAACCACTCAAGCCACAGACAAATCGAGATGTGCCAAGAACAGGAGCACGTCTTTCAGCTCCATGTGCCCATATGCAAACYCAGTAGAGAGATGAAACTCAGAACAGGTGTGTGATACACACAGGTGCCAGGGGATACACACAGTTACTGCACACACCAGTCAGAACCTCTTTCCTTCCTCTTTACCCCTGGCTGGGTAATGCACCAGTTGCAGCCACCCGTTGCAGAAAGAGGGGGAAAGAGGAGAGTGATGCCAGCTGGGCACCCACTCTCCTTCCCTGACCTGGAAGGTTACATTGCTCAGCCTTCACTTGGAAGCTTCAGAGCACATAACACCATGAGAAATATATGAACTCAGACTGGTGTTTGATTTGCAAACTGCTACAGCAAAACAACTTCAGTGAGRCCTGGCAAATTTATTTATCTGGGAAGAGATGATACTTTCCATCAGACTTTATGCTTCTCCTGYAACATCCCTCATTGCATTGAAGGACAGCTTGATAATTGTAATTTCTGTATTAAAGTCTTAGCAATATTTGCCATTAAGTCCCAAATCTAAGAAGAGAGTGGGGGAGCCATAGTTTTGTAAGACACAGTTTAAAAAGAAAAAAGACAACAAAGTTCATAATCCATCGCTGAGGTATCAAGAGGGGATTATGATATTTTTCCCAAAAGGGAACATTTACATGTGTTAAGAGGCATTTTGGGAAACCATTCATACTTTGACAGCAAACAGCAATAGACAGACTTRGAAGGGTAGAAGCCTTTTAAGGGATATTAGCAAGCTAAAAATCACATTTAAAACAAAACAAATGTCCTTACAAAACATTGCTATTAACACCCTAGATTACAAGTAGTGGAATAATTGTAAAAATAGAAATCACTACTCAAGATATTCAGCTTTGGYCTACACTTAAGATTCTGATTACTAAAAAGTATTATCTATGAAAAATTACAGATCATCATTATTATCATCCACTCTTAATGCCTAAAAGCTGTAACCAAGGACTAATCAGACATACCATGTACATGTAACCTTGCCTCAGATCTCAATCTCAGGTAAACACACCCACTATGGAGTTTCCTTCCTGAGTGTGATGGATTAGCACAAGGTTGCCATATTAAAAAAAATGTAGAAATSTATTTAAGACTTATGTCTTAAAATCACTTGCATCAAAGTTTTGTAATTATTTCAAAGAACTTAGGGTTAGGTCACCAAAATGAAGGAAAATCAGTACATCAAAATATTTGTATTACTACCAGTATCATAAAGTTAAACTAAAGTCTGCCATGTTGCTAAATTCTGACTGTCAACAAGCAAGGAAGGGGAAAAGATGAGGAAAGTGGTTAATTTGTGCAAGCCACTATCARCATCTGATTATTAACCATTTTCAGCATCTGAGTATTAGCCATTTGCAAACAACACCAATGGATAAAACTCAAAGACTGTTGATTGTAAATGTCTCCTTGCAATTTTCCTATCTTATGTGTATGATGGCTTGAGGAGATCTGAAAGAAATAWAGTCAAATTCAACTCTTAAGCCATCAAGAATCTGAAGAGGCACCCTTAATTACCACATATTTAATAAGAAATGAAGAACAAGATTACGTCTCGATTTTAGCTGATGTAATGTGGAACACCATTAGCAAGATCTTGTGAAATTTGAGAACTTTTATTTGCTGCTGAGTTYAATTCCTCATAGAACTGAACCTAGGAAGTGCAAAAAGTGAAATGTGTGTTTGCTTTTTAAAGTATGTTCTCTTTCAATAATCTAAGGTGCTATTAGAAGCACAGGTAAGGACATTTAAAAATATGATTTTTATTCCAACATTTCCTTTTAAGTTTCAAATGTGACCTGCCTTWATATCATTATGATCTGCTGAAAATGCACCTGATTGCTAAACCCCTTTGAAGACTATTTAATCAACTGCCTATTAAGTAATAATGCTAAGATACAACGACTATGGGACAGATCTTGTCAACCTTATTCTTTGATGTAGTCCTACTGAGATGTCAGAAAYTGATCCCAAGAGATCAATTAATGAAATCAAGATTTAGACTTGCTGCACTGGATGCTCATTTTGTGCAAAAACTGTTTCCATGCTCTTTTCCAGTACATTTTGCAGTGGCATAAGAGTTCTCAGACCTCTGCTTCATTCCACTGGTAACCAGGAGTCCCARCACAGAAAAGAAGGAAATAGATCTTCATTGGTTCCTAGGACTTCAAAGTCATAGAGGAGACCACAAAAACACTTATGCCAGTTTCAAAACAATTTGCAGGAGCCCAAAATAGGTTTCACAAAATAATTAAATCAAGCAAAGTGCTGGAAGCTTTACTAGTCTACAAACTTACAGCTGACAATGTGTCTTTATTCACRAGAATTACACAAAATCTTACGGTGGACTTACAGTTTCAAATACATGAAATACTGATGTTTGCATAGCTAAGAGTGGATCCATAGGTGTACCATATCCTAAGACATGGAATGTATCCATTTCTAATGGAGGATAGCATCTTCTCATGAAGTAATGAGAAATACGTAAAAATCCTCCAAAGACTCTGGGCCAGACAATTAGGTAATCTGCAGTGTCAAAGCCCAACAGACTTTCCAATGAGGTCTAGACTTTGGATAAGCACTGCAGTCTTAAAAGTTACTTAGCTAACCTTACCAGGCACTAGGAATACTCTCTTTCATCCCTAAAGAAGTTAACAAGAAGAGGGAGGCCTCTGTCATTGMACTTAGAAACTGTTACAACTTTGCAACAAATGTACTATCAAGCATGTGTTGTACTGGCTGAGTACCAGTGTTAGCTGAGAATCAGTATTTAGTTGACTGTATTTTTAAAAAGGACATGTGAGGGTACCTTATTTATAGGGGTTCGAATGCTCTTTACTCATCCTAGTCAGTCAATTTCTAACTTTCCTTTTAAATTTGTTACCCCTCAAATTTGTACAATTTATTTTCTCCGACTTCCTAATACAAGCTATTTTGAGGCAAACAGAAGACAACCAGCATGGTGTGGTGCTCTACTGTGACCTAATRGAAGGCAGCTGTGAAATGGTTCCTGATTATTTGGTCTGAAACCAGGCTGTATGCAGACCCCAGCTGGATATGGAGTGTTTAGTCATAGCAATGTTATTCTGTGTGCTTATGAAATTGAAAAAGGGCAGGGGCACAGTGAGATCCCTCTCAGTACAGGGAACACGTATGAGAAATTCTCCAGTTGCATTTGTAAGTAGCATTTCCCTCACCATCCATGAAAATCTACAAGCTGCCAAGGAAAAGCAAAACATCCCAGCTATGAGCCATAGCTCTGAAGCAACAGATGTCRAAAAGCATCAAGCATGTGTGAGTGRATTGGACCAACAGATCTTGAAGCAGCACCACTTACCCTTGGACTGCTGAGAGGACTGGTGGAGAGCCCAGACGATGCTCCGCTGATTGACCGAGACCTGAATGGACACAACAAGGAAAACATCCCTCAGAAAACTCAGACAAGTAATGACCCTGAACACCAGCCACCACAGGCACAGGCATGAAGGGAGGAGGAGGAGGGAGGCTGTCACTGGAAACGTACATAACTCTTTCCTTTTCTTTCGCTATTGTCACATTTTTCAGGTGTCCACCCCTCAAATCAAAGAAATGCTGTTTCTCAGGGAGAATATTATAATCCCTTTTGGTTAAGGCAATTACTACTTTCTTTTTGATCATCAAGTACATGGAAACTACTAGTTCTGCTCTGTACAAGTTGAACAGCTGAATTCAAAAGGATGGTGAAGATTCATACTTGAGCTGAGAGTTCTGTTTGACACATCCATACTTGAGCTGAGAGTTCTGTTTGACACATCCATACTTGTGCTGAGAGTTCTGTTTTGCACAGTGCTGGTGGTCACAAACGGAGACTTTCTCTGTCACAAGCAACATGGAAAAACACCATGCATGCAAGGCACAAAGGTAGGGGGTTCTTCCRGATAATAATTCAAACCCCAAGTCTCCTTGATTGAAGCACACAACTATTTCCTATGTTATGACTTCCCACTGAAATCAAAGATCACATTGGATTTCACATCTTTGCTCTCCAGTGAGACTTTCTGCTTCTGCATTAACAAGCCAAGTCTTCTCTATGGATAAYGAGTTATGCTTTTGTCAATGACTTTACTAATATCAAAATAACAGCTCAGGTGCCCTCAGAAAGAGACCAATCAAGGGAGAGTGAGCCGTCCTATTTGCTGACAAGTTCACCTATACTATAATGATTTTAAGCTCTCCAGCAAAGGCTACCTATGAAAAATGTCAGCGACAGACAATAAAATGTGCAAATGTGCTCTGCTAAACGTGGAAAAGCAGACAGGCCAGACTGCACAAACATTTCAGCAGAAAAAGTTTCTAGGAGAAAGGCTGCCCAGCAGAATGAAAACGCATACCCTGTGTGTCACTGTACATGAGTGAGCCCAGGGACACTTTTCTGTCCTTTTTAATTGAAAGAAAGTTGTCTTGAAGATTGAAACATCTTATGGGAGAGGATTTGGCGAAGAACCTATTTGTTCAACAACCACCATGCAGCAATATGTCAATACAGCAAACCTACCAATGTTTCCTACCCATAATAAAAGCCATGAAAGCAATTACTTGCCTTCAGGTAACAAACATGAAAAGGTGAAATTCCTGTAGAAAACAGAGTGCATGGGTGTGTGTGTTTTAATATGCGTCTATCTGTGTATACACAAATACATATTAAAAATTGATATAGGTCAGACACTTGATGTCAGCTTATACATAAGAATATAAAACAAAATCAGACCATTAACTGTCTGTTTATTCTCTTCTGCTGTTGTAGAATATAAAGATAAAAATAGTTTCTAAAATTTCCTCCCAGACATATGTTATTAAATAAATTTGAGTAGTAGAATTCTTAAAAAATAAGTGAATTGCAAAGAGGAAATATTTCCAAGGAAAGAATAAGCTACAGCTGAACACAATGACACGTTCTATTTTCTCTGTATCCTCTGCCTTCATGGTTTTCTCTGTATCCCATTGCATTTGTCCATCACACTAAGTAGGTGAAACCCAGAAGTGCACTCACAGCATGCTTTTTTGGCCAGATTAAATCTCAATTGGCACCACAAAAATCTGGAGCACTCATTCTATGCAGAAAATCCCCATTTAGGTTTTTTTCTTGTACCCTTCTGCAATCTGCCCATCATGGTGCAGCAGTAAAAAATTTTCACACTAGATTAAACCTAAATTTGTACCATCAAGATCTGGGGCACTCATGAAGGTTTATGCAAAATAATTTTAAGGGGAGAACKGTCTGCTCCACTTTTGAAAAGACTAATGTATGTGCCTTTCCTATAACTGAAGTAGCTGACTGCACCACAGATGTGTCGTGCAGATGGGAAGTCCATTTAGTTAAAATGTTCCTTGSATGAATCATCAGAAAAAGCTTCTTCCAAACCCTGAATTACAAGAGGAGCCTATAGATTATCTTGGATAAATGGGGAAGGCATTCAGGTGCCCAGAGAAGCAGTTAAACACCAACTCAGAGTTAAAGATTCCCACCAACTCTTAATTGTGGTGGGAAAGTCCTCTCTGACACTCACCTGAATTCCAGGACTCTTGATTAAAAGTTCCACTCTGCTATTTCATTTTTGCAATCAGGTGTTTCCAACAGTCCTGAATTCTCCCCAACCCCATTGCCTCTTTATCTCTTTACATAAATGATCACACACATGGAGGACAGAATATGGCAGTCCCCACCTCCCAACTCCCAGTTCTTTATTGGAAGCAATATTTGAAAAATAGTTGTTGTGTACTGTGCTTTCATCCAGCCTAGGAGCCTGAGGCAGAGGACTTAAGAGAGTTAGCATGAAATCCTCCTGGAAATGCATTCAGTATCCACATGATTACTGTTGAACAAGATTTATTCCTGCTGCTGATTTACATGCAAAATATGGAAGAAGTAAAGTAGGCCTTATAGCAAGCTTCAGTTTGTCCACACTGGAAATTGTATATAGGAGCAGTGGGAAGAGTTTAAAGAAGGCTGTGTTCAACTGAAGTGTTGGGTGAAAAGAGGGCTGTACATTTTCAAAACTCTTCCTCCTTTACTAGAAAGGGGTGGTATGGGATATGACACCAAGACTATGGAGATTTTCCTTTCATCTTCCTCAATTTAATAAACCTCCCATAATTTACCTTTACAAATGGAACATGATTCTCAAGCTGSCTATAAAAACTCAGTACTGTGGCCTACTATGTAGTTCTGTACTCCAGTACAAAAACCCTAACAAGCAAAAATGACAGATTTGTCCCTCTCATCAAGATCATCTTGGCTGAGCAATGCTGTAATTCTGTTTGTAGAAAAAAACAACCACATGCACTGCTCCTGTATCTCAGAGTCAGGTGGACAGAACTGGGACAGGGCCAAAAGAAAGGAATAAAAACATTGCATTATGCTGAAATGCTGTAATGAAAGAACAGGAATGTAAATTTTTAGCCCTCTCACCAGAAAATGAAAGTTTGAGGCCCTACAGGCAGCCTATTAGCATGGCAGACTCTTATGACTGATGTGCAGAAAGAGGAAAAAAATATGACATTGTCTCCATGGCGATGAATCAAATGTCTTCAGTGGGAAGTATCTGTTAGAGGGAAACCTCCTAAGAGTCTTTACAGGCATTAAGTGTTACTGGAAGTATTAAATCTATAATTATTCCAATAACTTAATACTAAATGCAACAATCTAGGAGACTGTGAACACTATGTGTGACTCATTTTGCTCTGTGTTTTGCATTGCTGTATGCTTGTGCACTATTTCAATGGAAGTCATCAAAAKGTTGTTCAAAATACAAGCAGGAAAGACAGTGCAGTTGCTCAGATAAAGAGCATCCCCTCAAACACAGCTGCCAMAATTTGAATCCCAAGAAGAGACTTTAGTTCCTTACAAAGTGACACAGTTGTTTTGACAAGCCTGGAGGAAGAAATTAAAAAATCTTAAAACATAAGGGAAGTGAACCTAAGATTTAGGAGGGGGAAGATGCAGAGGGCACTCTAAACATAAGGTGGACACTGAGATCATTGCAGGCTATTCCTCCCATTCAATAGACTGGCAATAATATGGAGACAGCTGAGCTATGGAAGAGAAAGGCAAAGGACTGAAATGAAATGTGCATGTGTGGGCTCTAGTTTATAGCTGTGATGATTTTATACCTCGTTTGATCTTATTTGATAATTCAAAATGTCAGAGTTAAAAGGTCCTTCATTTTAAAGTAATTTTTCACTCATTTTAGCCAGCTGCTGTCAAAGAGGAAGCCATGCAAGGCCAAATTCATGTCAGATCAGTGTTCTCTTACTGGAATCTGGTTTCAGAGAATGCAGAATTTCCTGAGAGATGAAGGGCTGAAGCCTGACTCTGCTGAGGTGGAGTTGGAGAGAAACAYGACACAGGAGAGCACATCTGGCCTGGCAGGCACACACATAGCACATTACAGAGCATCTCTCCATTGCCCTTCTCTCAGATAAGTTTTCAAATGCTTTAAACAGTGCCCTGCTAGGACACACCAGTAGAGAATAAAGGCTTCACAGTGTGAATTTAACATTTAGGTCAGATTTGACATTTGTTTCCTCTTCAAATAACCATCTCCTAGAACTTTTTCTCACAATCAGAGGTGAGTTTGGTACCTTGCTGCAGTCCTAGCAGAACTTGCTTTCATAGCACAGTTTTACCAGGATGCAGAATACAGCCTCTTAGCTGGTCAAGCTGGAGCCATGCTTCCGAGAAAGGGAGCCTGCAGCATGCATGCAGCGTGCAGTGATGCATCAGACTTGTGTCCCTGGGTGAAATGCCTTAGAAATTTTGAATTGGTCTTATTTAATGTGTAGTTTTGAAAGTTATTYCAGAAAATATCCAGCCAACCTCTTATTTGCTTCAAGCATAAATTGGGTGGAATTTGATACTCCTCTTTCCTTGCTCACTCAAAGCCAAAAAAATCTAAACGGAAATTTCAGGCTATGAGACCCCTTACAATGACCTAAATGAACATGCAAAAGGTGAGCAGTCAGGCTCTGTTAAATTTCATCACTATTACTTTTGGGTGTCTAAAAGGTACAAACTGTGCTTCCTCACTCTCTGATTCAGGAATGTATGTAGAATACCTTTGATGTTCCATGGTTTTACAGTCCCAACTGTGCAAATAATACTGTGACAGCTCTCACTGGAAACAAGTTATGCTTAAGTCAGGTCTGCTCTTGGTAATAATCATTCGTAAGATGAAGCCTTACAGACTGCAGAGGAAGGAGTGCAGGTGCTGGTAACACACCTCTTCTTCCTTTCAGCCCTTAAAGAGGGTGAAGTTGAACAGCATCACCCTCCTTAGCTGGCCAATTATACTAAAGTTCCATTTATAAATGGCTTAGAAAGAATTAATAAATAGTAAACCATGCTACAAACATAAGAAGT